GAGAATATCATGAGTTTCAATAAGTTCTCGAAGTTGAGACTATATGAAACTCTTATTTTGATGTGGTTGATTGATGTATTCACAACCTCCACAAAAAAAAATTCAAAAACGATTTTTGTAAATCACGTATATGCAGCCGCAAAGTGACATTAAAAAAAGCTGCCACGACTCCCAAATAACATTTGCTCTCGCATTCTCACCAAGCACTCTTCTCTCTCTTTTTTTTTCTTTTACAAAACGCTGTATTTTACTCAAAGGAACGGTTCCCTGCGCCAAATTCAGTCATTGTACTTTTGTCTTCTTCCTAAGATGAAAACGGCAATCTCACTCAAATCGCATTTTGTGCAACCTTCACATCATCGTCGTACATCATTTCATCTTCAAACTTATTACAATTCATAAAAAAAAGACTTTTGCTAATTTGTAAGAATTTGACTACCAATCTTCACTACCGAGGCAGTTGATTTGCCAGAAACGTATAAGACCGTGCATGAATATAACTATTCATGTCTTACTTACTTATACTAAAATACCTTTTTCGCTCCTAGTCTCTCTTAGGGCTTCCAATAGTCCAAGTTTTCTAAAATAACAGAGTTTTTCTACCGCAAGGAAAACTTTCCAGAAATCCGGGTTCAATCCAAGAGTTGCAAAACACCTTTTCTGCCGTTTCAGCTAGACTAAATTTCAAGTCCAAATCAATAGTGAAATCAGCTGATGAAAATTCATACATCCAATGAAAAACATGCACACTTTCAGCCGAGACCAATCGATTAACGATTTAGCGTATTCGTAACAAAGAAACACAAAAAAGAGTGCTCACCAAACAGAAGTAAAGTAACGGAGGTCTACTATTTGAGATTCGCAAATGCATATCTCTATTCAACCTATATGACATGCAAAATATCGATGCTCACTACAGCGAGCGCTATGAATCAAGTCTGCGGGAATATATAGTAAGCGCTCTTAGGTCTAGAATTCAGGATACTGAGGCCAGTAAGTCGTTTCTAACATCAAACAGTTTAACATCTTCAAAAAAAAATTACGCTTTCCAAACATGCCTCTGCAGCTCTCTCTTCAAATCTAGTGCAGAACCTTTTACTTCCAGCAAATGCATAATGAGCTATCGAAACTAGCTATGTAGCTAGCTCAATATCGTAGAGCACTCTTCGTTATAGCTACCTCCTTAACCTTATCAATCACAATTATCGTAGCAATTTTCACTCACATTTTCCTTGTCAAACATAACTTTGATGTGATATAAAACTAACCCACAAAAAAAATTTAAAAAAACCTCATTACTTTATTATTTCTTGAAGTCTTCTTGATCACTTTAACAAAAGCGATATGACTTCATTCTAGTGTATAGCAATGCCTTTCCGAAATTGAGCTTTGGGATGAACATGCAAAAGGCACTACGAATATGTAGAAAAAAACTTTTTTTGCTCTATTATGTGACCGGTAACTTCATCCGTTCACATCTGCGCAAATACCATAGAGGCACGTAAAAACCGGTCTTACTTGCCTTTCATTGAAAATAGTGAAAAAGAAGCCTGGTAATATTGACCTTTAAAAAAATCGATTTAGTTTGCATAGGCTTTCATTCTGATTGAAAACGACTAGTTTTCATACATTCGGCCACCAATCTAAAACTATTCTTCGCTTTCCAGAGAAATAAAGAGCAGCGGAATGATTACAATTACATAGCCATTCACTTTGCATTTTCATCAGCATTTAGCAGAGGTGGATCTCAACCATCCTCATCATCTACCATACAAAAAAAAAATTCTAGCACAACATTTGAGAATTATTCGGTTTCAACTGAATTCAGCAGTGGTTTAGAAAAAAAATTCCTTAACTGTCCATTTCAGCAAAAATGACAGCACAAGCGATACAAAGGCCTGTATGAGTCTCACCTCGCGCGACTAATACGCTCGCGACAGTTTCAGATATGCAAAAGCGAGACTAAAACAAAATGCGAGTAACCGAAGGAGAAATAGTAAAGTAGAATTAAAATTGTTTTGTTCCTAATTTATCCTCGAATAACCGCTCCGTCATCAGTGTTCCCAGTCAAGTGTTCACCATTGTATTATAAGCGATTTTCTATTCGAGTTATTGTCTACACTCACTTGTTCAGAGCATGTGAGAAAGACAGAAACTGCATGTGCCCCATTACAACTATGTTACCTTTGTATTGAAATTGTTTCTGCTATCAGATGTTCAGAGCGTCTGAAAAGACTGGATGTTTTGAGTGCCAGTAGCAAACACACAATAATTTCACTTACGCAGCGGCTACTGGCAGAGTAAGTTTGCCGCAAGCGTCTGCACTATATCAAGAAAGACTTCTCCGATGGGCGACTCGGAGAAGCCTTTCAGTCATTCAAAATTTCACCCCACGCCCTTGTGGGCAACATTACGGAAGTGTTCCCTCATGAGTTGCTCACATGATAGATTTCGAAAATTTCATGTTTTAGTTGCCCTTGATTTTTTTTTGAATGTTGTAACGACGAATCTTCAAAACGTCAAAATTTTGAACGTTCTGTCACAATAGCGATTATTGATTGATTTGATTTGCATTATTGTTGTCTGCATTTCTCAAGTATATGTATTTCTTCAATATTTACGACAACCCCATCGCCACATATCAAAATTTCAAACATATCCCAATTCGACTTTCAAACTATGCCGCTTATACCATGTTGTTTTATCCTCGTGAGAAGCATTGCAATACTTGTTCCCTCCGCTCGGATAAAGCCCATCTACGACGTTTTGATATCATCATTATCGCATTCATCCGTTCCTAATTACCTTACCCGCAAATCAGTTTGATAACTATCCCATTTCCAAGATCATTTCGCTGCGCTTGATTCTCAGCTCGAGACGAGCTCTTTCTTTTGACAGGGCGTGCGAGAGCCGTGCCTTTCTAATAAGCCCTTTTCCCCCTGTCCTTATTCGCGAAGAGCGATCCAGCAACGAAACCCACTGAGCGATCAACAGCACAAACCCTGCGTTCAACCGAAGCAACAACACCAATTGGTTTATGGGCTATCTTGATGACGATAATGGTTTCAACCACACCTTTCTGCACTCAATCGCAGCCGCCGCGAAACAAATGGTATATGGGCAGTATTGAAGACGATGATGACAACTACACAATAATCTCCTGCCCCCCACGACGAAACAAATGGTACATGGGCAGCTTTGATGACGATTTCCCACTCTTTAGCCATGGTCAAAGATGAAAGTTCGGGACGAGCTTTACTATGGAATGGACATGTCGAGACGCAGACTAATTAGATGGTCCGACAGTCTCCACGCCAACTGGGCGGTGCCCCAGCAACTCCAGATGAGCTGCCTAACCGGGTGACCGGCGGTTACCCTTCCCCTCTCTTTCTATTTATAAATATATAATAAAGATTCTAGTCATAATGTCATGTTCATACAAAGTAAAACAATCAGGGTGAAGGATTCAAGTCAAGAGAGCGCACCTCTTGGACTTGACACTAAAAACAAAACAAGATTAGCTTTTGCAGTACCGCAAATATGGATAAAATGAAAACTTGAATGCTGTGTGAATTTAAAAAGTGTTTTGCTGTGAAAAATAACATCATAATCGTTTCACACGAATTTTTCAGTAATTAATTAATTAGTAATTCGGTTTTTCTTTTACAAACGTTTTGAACTGATCTGAGTATTGTCACATGCCACTCCGAGCCTTCAGTATGACCTGGAAGTGCTACTCTTCCCATATGGGTTATTGGAGAGGGAGACGGTCATGGGGCGCGATTTTCCTGGGTGTCATCAACTTAAAACTCCAGTTTCAAGTTATGGGAAAATTCAAAAAGTGCCGGACAAAGTTTATTGGCTTACTAGATGTTTGAAGTAACGTTTGAAGTAAGCTTTATACAACAGATAAAATCAAGATATTCTTTACTTTACGCATTTTTGATAATAAACGTTTCATTCTAGTCCATCCTAGGTAATCGATAACTGGTCGTATTACCAGCACCCTAGCATACCGCTAGAAGGTCAAAGTGATCGAGAAGTGTTCGTATGAAAAGTCCCCCTCCCCCCCCTCACCTAGGCGTAGTGGAGAATCTTACTCATTACGTGGATGGGGAGGTGCGATGTAGGTGTGAGGTAGGTGCGAAGGCTAGGTGCGAAGTCCCTGATCGTATGAAAAGTCCCCCCCCCCCCCGGGACACTTCTGCACGTTTTGGAGGTTGTTTAGTATTAAGCGATACAAATCAAGCATAATAGCTTATATTCAGAACCCTCGAAGATGCAAACCACTACGTAGAAAGGATTTGTTGCATCGCAAACGAATAATAAATGCTATGAGATTTTAAGGAAGAGTATCGTTCTGGCGCATATGTAACTACAGCCTCAATTAATAATTATTGTACTATGATTTCCAAATTTGTAATAGAAAAACTATTTAATTTGTCATTTATTCACTCCCAAAGCGGAAACTTGCACTTCAAAGCCCCGCTGAAAGCAATATTTTAAACTCATCGCGACGTTTTTACCCAGTTACCAAAGTTTCTTTCGGTTTTGCCGCTCGATTTCGGCCTCTTTCTCTAAACTTTTCTTACACGAAATTCGCTTTTCATGGGGGGGGGGGGGAAGCAGGTTTCACACCACCTTCACTTTTGAGGCTTTACCTCTACACTATCGTAAGTATGCGTGCAGTCCACGATTTACATTTTCAGTCTTTTTGCTAGCATGCATCAAATCCAGATATCTGCAAAGACATGGATACAGTTTTCATTTTCGATCACTCAAAGAAAAAAGAAAGCAATGAGACCTAATTTAACGCAACATCAGTGCGAAAATCACCTGTTTATGATGACGGTCTGGGGCGCATGATATCTAGTCAATGTTTCAACATAAAGATGAAATAAAAACAGGGAGATGTGGAGGGAAAGGACTACAAACAATGTACACTTAAGTAAAAAAGAAACAGCGAAGAATTATGTACAATTAAAACTGACGATACTGACCTAACAGCAATAACATGCACCGTTGTTCCAGAATGCATTGTCTATCTACAAGAAAATGGTTATGATAAAGTCATATCAACAATGTTCAGACAAAAATATGCAATAGCAATGACCAGTTAGTTTGATAGCTCCTTCATCAAAATCGTGCCACACAACAGAAAAATCAACAATATATTCATAAAACAAAAGAACGAGATAGTGCATGAGCTTCAGCTTTCACCTCCTCTTTTTGTCTTCGAAAAATATCCGAAATCTGTCTTGGAAGAAATCTTCAAGTTGTTCCGCACACTGAATCACGAGTAAGCAAATCAAGGTGAACGAATAGGCTTGGAAGAACACTTACGTCGTATATTTCGCTGCCTTCCTCATTATATTCCTTACAATTGGCCACAATTAGATAGGCGTCAGATCGAACCTCCTCTGGAGTGTCATACACATGTTGTTTGATCTTATTTATCATCGTTCTGAGGTCCATTGGTCGGGTTATTACGTCATAGTAGTCCGGAACCTGAACACCAGAGATTACTGCAGAACCCATGGAACACGAAAAAAAGGGAAAACACTTTTAATCCATACGAATTTTGCGCGGCGGCGCTGTGGGGCGATGCGATTTTGCACAACACTTTCGGCGCGAAAAAGTTTTGTGATTATTAACAAATGTGAAAATGTTTTGTGAATAACGACAGCCATCTTCTCGGACGACGAAGCCTATGGATTCCAAGAGGCTAAAAAACTGGAAAAAATGCTGAACTGTGGAAAAAATACTAGATCTGAAAAGGATATGATTCTGCAAGGGGTGTGGACCACCGGTGGTCCACATCGTCCCTGGCGGCAAAAAGTGCTTGGGCCACCGGTGTCCACATCGTCGTCAATGGATTAAGGGCCAAAATGGTTTCAAGTGCAGATTATACAACAATTTAATGATATAAAATTTATAGTTGCACTTGGGATGATGATGGCTTCAAAAGCGACACGTTTCATCCGTACCTCGCCTACTCTTTCGTTCACTACGTCAATAAGCTGTGCAAATCGCGCGTACCTGTCTCAAGTAAAAATTGCAACTGGTCATGTTCTGTGTTATGTCAACCCTATCTACCCTTTGTCTCATTCGGATTGACTCCGACTCGACGGCTCAGGTCCGCGCGGCCGCCTCGCCTGGATCCTGCGCCGCGTTCGCCAACGTGTCGCCTGATAATTTTCCCACGCCTGAGTGTGAAATGATAGGAGGTCAATCGTTAGTCGGGCCTAACAATAAGAGGGCAGTGTACACGTCTGTGGCATTCCGGAAATTTTTTTTCACGAAAAACCTCTTACGAAGCTAATCTGTTTTTTTTTTAATTGAAAAATCATCTCAATCATTAGAATTGAGAACAATTCACTTGCGATTTTATAACTCACGCAGGCTATTCTCAAAAATCTGCCACATTCTCAGCGGGGAGCGCACCTATAGTCTAAAAAAATTCTTGCGACAACAACAAGAAGGTTTTTTTAAGTCCTGAAGTCCTGGCCTCTGATAATGGAGAAATTTTCCCATTTTTTGCTTTCATACGTTCTAGTCCTGGCCTTGCTGTACTAATGACCATGCGATCTAAGGACTACAACGATTGAGTGAGAGAGGCTCTAGAAACGATAGCGACATGTCATGCATATGCTAAGAATTTCTAGATTCAGAATTTTTTTAGGATGTAAACCTTGATGAGCGTTTTCTGACGAAAGTCCCCAGCAAAAATTATTATGTTTGCAAAAAACTTCGTCCGTCGCTTTTAGATCTTATATAAGTAGGGTGAAAAGGGAAAATTACACTCTCGATTCATAGTATTTCTAATGTCACCACAAAATGAACACAGCTTCCTGGAAAAGAAAAGAATGTATAGCACTAGTAAAAAAGGGCTTTCGAGTGCTTATACAACGTAATATATAAAAAAACCGCTTTTGGATCTGCAACCCTTTCGCGAGCGTAATCCTCATTTGATTTTATATTCAATTAGCGATTAAAGCTTGGCCTTTCCCAGCTCAGCTGCCCCATCACCCCCAATGACAGAGGACGGTCGCAACAGGTTGCGTTGCAGCTTATCGTGGGTGGCCAGTGTTACCGAAACTGAGCCAAAAGTGACCAGTCCTATCGAAGGTCTTGTGAGATTTCTCATTTCTGAACACTTTAAAACCCAAATTGGGGCTAATACCTTTAGACACCCGAGTTGATGAGCGGGGCTGCTTCTGCCTCACCTAGCTTTTGAAGCAATTTTCTCGCCAGCAAACTCAACTTTAGCCCAGTTAGGAACCCTTACTGTACCGCAACGAGATCCCACTACCAACCCTAAATCGCGAGACAATGCCCATAGGGAACCAAAAGCTCATACTGCCGCCTAAAGTGCATTGGAAGTGATAAAAATCTTTCTTGAATGAAGTCATTTGTCAAAAGAGTGGGACTTTATTTTGACTAATGTCGGTGGTCGTAAGTTCTTTGTATTGAGCGGACAATGCAAATTGACTGACTATCAACTAATTTAATTTTATCTGCCCATAGACAGCGAGAGAAGCAGATGCAATGTAGTGGTTCAGAAAATGGACGAAATTGCAATAAAGAAAAGAGTGACGCTTTAGCACTTTTTCTTTGGAACAATGTCTCACAAATGATTTCAACTCTATTTTTCACACCCATGTAAAATGAGCGTTACAGAAAAGCCTAACGTACAGGCAGACGAAAACTTGCCTCCTTCTTGTCTACAGGTTCCAGAAAAGGCCACGCATATGGTTCCCGCATAGCCTCTCGTATGAGTTTCTCTAGCTCCTCGATCCTAGCTCTCGATGACAGATCGGGATCACGCAGTGTAGGAGCAAAACTTCGTAAAGGTGATTCTGTGAATTCATCCGCATCTACAAACAAACAGTTACAAACTTTTCAGTTGTCTCCTCACAACTGACTTTTTCGTTTTCTTTTGCTCTTCGAGATTGTTGACGATTCGCTGTCGTAATCGAAGTCATCATCAACATAGTCCGTGTTCACGTAACCGTTCGAACGTGCGGAATGTCGTTTGGACGACTTGATAACGGTATTATCAACAGTTGAAACGTTCTTCGTTTCTTGGTTGAGCCCAACCTTGAGAGGACGAGGAGATGCGTCAACATCAGGTGTTGAACCACCGTCATCGTACAGCACCCGCCTCACTGTTCGGCCGCTACTGGTGCGAATAACGTTGTTATTATTAGTATGCTGGCCATTTTGCCTTAACAAAGCTTTGTGACCGTAAATCTTACACACATCAGCTGACAACGACACTTACTGCAAAGCACAAGAATGGAGAAATGAATCAAAATCAAGAAAAGTGCAAAGTAACGTACGACAGCTCTTCTTCCATGCTTGCGTTCAGACTGTTCTCGTCGCCAACATGCTCGTCTTCTACATCTTCTTGCTCTCGCAGCATGGCCGCTTCTGCAAATTGAAAGGATTTGAACACAAAAGACAGAATTTGTTATCCTTTCGACAAGTATCCTCTTTTCATAGACCGCACGGACTGGCCGTGTCTGCGGCTGTCGCAACGCGGGGCTAAGCGAAAGCGCGACTTGTACAATCAATAAGCAATGGGAAAACGGTTTTACCGCGCGTAGCAAGCGTCGCAGCCACGACCACTGCATGTGGTAGATGAATGGACTCCAAAAAATCAAGTAATTGATTTGACCTGATTTATCAGCTGGGCACAGCCCACCTTTCTGCGTTTTTCGTTTCTCAGCCGCAGCTATCTTCCTTCGCACCGCTTTACAGTCTGCACAGCACCAGTCCAGTGGTGCTGGGCCAGCCTCAAGTCTCGCACATTCGAAATGATAGCAGCGATCACAGTCTGCACAGAGTACCAGCTGTTCCGCGTTAGCCTTCCGCCTGCATGCCCGGCACTTGGCCTGGGAAGTGTAAGTTTCAGTGTAAAATTGAGGAGAAAAAATTTCAAGAAGGATTACCTGCAACCTGCTCTTATCCCACATTATGGCAGGTTCCAAAGTAGATAAGAAGAGGCAGAGAGCTGGGAGCGAACTACACGTGAGCAAAGCTCGTTGCCATCGCAGGAAAACAGCCGTAGCCATAACAATGTGACGCCCTTCTGCAAAGAATTTGTTCAAGTGAATGAAATGCATCCGCTCCTCTACTTACTGTCGTCTGTTTTGGTCACACCAAATGGTTTTTGGAGAAATTTCAAGCCTATACACTGAACCAACTGCAGGAAAGCCACAGAAAGTCTAAGAATAAACCTTTCAGTTGAAAATAAGAAAAAACTAGCTCAAGCTAAAAAACGCACTTCTGAACATCTGTGAGCTTCTGTAATTCGTCTTTTGTCCAAACAACTTCTTCACGTGGCCCTTTTATCACTACGTCACCTTCCATCAACGGCGTTATATCTCCAGTATCCAACAAGAGGTCCCGCCATTGTTGTCGATCTATAGTGGGTGGAAGACGACCAAGGAGGCCTTGCTCGATCTGAACATCTTGGCAATTTTCGCACAAAACGAAAATAATACCACTCTGTTTTTTTTGCACCGATAGATTGGAGTAAATTATGTCAGTAAGAACATACCTTTTCCTCCAAATCAAGCAACAGCTCTCGGATTTCGACGTCCCATTCCACACCACTCTGCATCAAAGCCGGATCAGCCTGGTCTACCATGAAAAGCGAGGTGAATTGCCCATTAGCCAACTTTGCCTCCTTCAGATTTTGCCATCAGTACATTCAAGTCCAACCTTACTTCAAAACGCTCACCACCTTCTCCATAACCTCAGCTATTCGCGGATGATGGAAAGTAATCTCTTCAGCAAGGTCAATTTCGCGATAACCACGAGGATTACATGCAGCAACAATCTGAGGACAAGTTAATATTACCAGGAGGTTCTATGACAGACACTCACCTGATCAACTTTTTCCATAGAATCCACAAATGTCCACCTCGGCCTTCGTTTCGAGAGTTCACCATGGACAGAACAGGTGTTCATGTTGCCGGAGCATCCCAAAACAAACTGTCGTGTAGCTTCTTCACTACCATACTCACTCTAAAAGCTACTCTGAGAACTCGGTCAGATGAATAGGGAGTGTCAATAGCCATTATACAGTAAACTACGGAAAAACAGAAAGAAAAGCAAAGCGAACCCAAAGAAAAATATGGAAAAATAGAGAGGAAAGCAGAGCGATCACTGCGGAAGAAATATAGAAGAAAAGAGAAAAAGCAGAGCGAACCCACACAATCGGCCACAGGCGTAGACTCGAAGCATACTCCCACATGATCAGCTTCGATGGGATTTTCAACGAGTAGACAGGGCACGCACTCAAGTAGGAAGTAATTCCGGAACGCTCGGTCTCTTCCCAGGTGCAATTGTCCGGCCATCGCTAGATTAACCATTACTCAACCGAAAAAACATCTTCGTAGAACCGAACTCACTTGTCAGATCATATATTGTTTCTAGCAGCTTCTTTTCTACGTCTTGAACTTTGTCCCTTTGCAAGTCGCGAGCAAGAATAATGTCGGAAAGTTCCAGCTCATTGAATGCCACGCCAGAAAGAAGCATCTAGAATCAACTTTTTTGAATCTACCCAACGATGCAGCAGAAAGGTGATAAAATCCTACTTGTTCAACCTCATCGCGGTCCACCCGTCTCGAATCACGGATCGCTTTAAGATGATGCTTCAGCTTAAGCGTTTCCTCAGACGGTGCTGGCCACTCTTTCAGATGTTCTTTAGCTGCTTCACTACCCTGTTCTTCTATGAGCTCTGCCTCATACTCGCGAGCAAGCCTTGCTTCTTTGGCTTCCTAGAATGGAAAACATCTCGAAAAATATCTTTTGAGGATCTTCTGCATAAAAATCATCCAGGTGATGGAGGTTTTAGTTATGGAACAAAACGTGAAGGTGAAGTGTGCATCCTCGAGCAAATTTATGAGAAGAAAATTCCGTCTTCTTTTACCTGCTCCTGCGTCTGATCCCAATTTCTCAGCTTTTTGAGTTCCCTCCTTTGCTCCCAGAGCTCAAATAATCGCTCATCCTGGCGACTGCGAAACTGAACACAATCGAATCGCATAAGTAAAGCTCAAAATTTGAGAAATTACCTTGCTATAGCTGAGAAGCTGATAGACAACCACTTTCATGAGATCTAAGCGTTCCGTCGGTGTTAAGTCAAACACTGTTCCCTAAAAATTTTCAGCTATCATGTGAAGTACCGGAGTTTATAAGATAGCCTACAGTTCGAAGCTTCTCCATAGTTTCCGGATGGTTCATGCGATAAACGTAACCAGCATCTTCATACCTGAACATTTTTTATTTGACAGTCTACATATTCCAAAATGGCTCTTTTTACCCTTTATAGTTTCCTCTGGCAAATAATCGATGGCGATGCGTACTTTGTCCAGTGTAGTAGCCGGAAGTGAGTAATACTAACCGTATTAACTCCGTCAAAGTCATCCAATCAACAGGAATATGTCGTAAAGATTGCCCTAGAAGAAAAATTGACTTTCCCTCCCTAAACAAAATGAATCCCCTACCATGTGTTAATCGGATTTCTTCATGTAAGTAGGTCATTTCTCGTATCCTTTCACCATGTATTTTATTATCAGGGTCACAATTCTGCAGTTGTATCAAGGCAATCTCTTCTTTATTAGACAGGTCAGCTGAAAACAGCCAATTATGTGGTCAAAAATGGAAGGAGATAAATAGCCACCTTCATCGCCATCTTCTTCATCTGCTCGATCAGTCCTGGCCGAAAGAAGGATTTTCATGAGATCAGCGTAGGTGCTATATTGGGGATCAGCACATCGAATTGCCATAATGACATCAGTTAGATTCACTCGATGCGTACCTTAATACAAGATCATTTATACCTGTGATTACAGTACACTTGAGTTTCTCTTACCTCGCACTTCCTTGATAGGCAGAAGTTCCTGAAATATAAAAATGATAATATCTGTTCTGTTGCAATAATTCAATAATTCAAACGACAAGAAAGATGATGCAAAATGTAGTACATCAAGGATAATTTTGGGTTAGGGAAATTTCTTTGTGAGTAACATGGTATCAAAGGCTCAGAACGAGAATTTCAAAAGTGCGAGGCAAGATGCATTTAGTCTTTTCGCAGTGTTATGCGTCCTAATTTTTGCTTGAGTTCATGTATACTTGGAAAGGGTGTAAAAAGCAATTTGACAAATCTAGAAAAAAAGCTTGGAAACATCCGAGTGTTTTCAAGACTACTACTATGCATAATTTGTAAACTACCTGGAAAGCAGTGAAAAACTGTAGTATGGCTAGGTATTCAGACAACTCTTCGTCATTCAACCAAGGAGGAAGAGTTAGAGCAGGATAAGCGGGAAGTGCCTGTAAGCAGCACCCCTTGAAACTTAGTAAACAAATTTCTAATATACCTTCAAATCGTCACAATCTAAATCATCCCTCTTCTTTGCCCATTCATGTTTGGCTTTGAGTTTCATCCTTTTTGCCTCTCTAGCTTGCTCACGTTCCTGAGCGCATCGTCTTTATTACATTTGAGAGATAACTAACTAAAACTCACTTGAGTTCGCGACGATTTGATCAGCAACTTTAGCTCAGCTATCTCGTGCACGTTGAGTATCCGCGTTTGTTGCTCATACTTGGTTAAATCCACACCGAATTTTCTGGCGTTTTCAAACAATGAGGCAAGCTCTTCCTGCTGAGCGAAAATCTGTAAGACGCCGGAATTTTTGAACACTTATCACTGCATAACAACTCCGGAAGTTTGAACCAATTCTTCTTTGGCTTTCTCCTCAAAGATTTTTTTTTGAAAAAGTCTTTCATCTCAGATAATAAAAGCTATTCTAGATATTCAACTCCCACATGCTAAAACATCAGCTTAATATGTGAATATCCAAGATTTACCTGCTGTCGCTTCTTCTCTGTCAGTCCTTTGGGTGTGTCACTTCGTCTCGTGTATGCCCTTTTTTCTTTTACGGGTTTCGGAGTGCCGTTGACAACTGGAGTCTCTGTAAAAAAATTAGTTAGAAGTGATAAGTGCTTAGAGCAAACACCATTCAGCGTGACTGAGCATCGCTTTTGAAAAAGAAATGATCTACACCCTCGTCTATAACGGTCCAACTTTAACTTTAACAAACCTTCCAAGTTTGTAGACGTTCCTTCTAGCGCCGCGGGTGTTGACGAGGTGGAGGCAACTGCATTCTGAGATTTGGGTTGTCTACCTCGTTGCAACATCGGGGTTTGAGGAAACTTTGGAGGCGGACCACCGCAAGCGCTTTCCCAAGTCAGAGTGTCTATGTCATTGATGAATTTCTCCTGGAAAAACGAAGGCTACGTAACAAAAAAAAAAACAAATGAGAAAACAGGAGTTCCTGTAGCAAAAAAAATAGAATGACGCAAGGTATGAAGTTTGTCCCTACATTACCTTTACATCGTAGCGCCCCTTCCGCACCACGCATGAATTCTTCAAAAACAGCTTCAACTTTGGTTTAGACGAAACACTTCTTGCTCGACTAAAATGTTTGTATATCTCGATCCACTGCACACTTATGCAAGAAAACCTACTGCAAGCAGGTATGATCGAAAAGTGCTTGTTCCAAATCGTCTTCCAAATATGCATCCGGATGGGTGTTCCCTTCTAGAAATTCCAAAGAGTACCGAAATATCTCGGGTGGAGGAATCTGTGGATCTTTGCCATTACTGTAACATGCTTTGTAGAGGATGTGAAGAAAATTTAAATCAATCTCCGATTAACAAGATTTTGAAAAGAATACGATTTCAGCATTGGAAAAAGCAACAAACAATGGGCAAGTTCTTTGAAAAAGAAAACTAACCCGCTTTCTGGCTGCCAATCTCGAAGCACTTGAACGCCAGTAATTTTTACCGGAACTCTTTGCGTGCCATCAACATAGGAACATTCTTCACCAATAAAATAGCGATCCTAAGTTGTAAAACTATCAAGGTCTGAAACGCATATCTAGCCGAAAAATAGGAAAGACGGACCTTCATGAATAAGGAGACATCATTGAGCAGATCTTCGAATCGACCTCGACATAAGTAGTTCCTAACGAGAAACAGTATAGATTGCTCCAATTGTGGCGGAAAATTTCCCAGTGCTTTCTGCAATTGAAGTTTTCTCTGGTAACAAATCATTCACAAACGTCTAAGTGCAGATCGATATCAATACTGCTGAGTCACAGCGCCAAGTTTTGGAGAGTCAGGTGAGGTTAGAGTCTACGAGACTATTAAACCATTCAGAGAATCTGAAAGACCTGGTTTCACACGAATATGATAAGAAAGGAAAAAAAAGCAGTAACAATCGGAAGCTTGAAGGAATTTGAATTTGACTTTGCGAAGTAAATTCCCAGCAACTTCGCTCAAGGGTATCTGAATAGTGTGTTACCATTGATTGTCCTCCGATTAAAAGTTGGATGTGCTTGTGAAATGAAGAATTTTCGGGCAAAAAGTTTTCAGTAAAAAAAAGAACAACTCATAGATACATAGCTACGCAATTGAGGAGCAGTTTTGCTGTAAAGTGCTATCTCTGATTTTGTAGACAATTTTGAACCAAGAATCAAGAAGTTCAGAGAGGTAAGTTATCAAGTAAGAGAAGGGCTCTCAGATTATAATACTACTCATGGATTAGCTGGCACATAGCAATGCACAGGTACTAGTCGATAAGCTGAAAACTTTAGTTTGAAAAAAAAACGGTCACTGTATGGTCTAAAACGACGAAACAGCGCTTCTACGTAGTGCAAAATTTTTTTTAAGAGTTCGGAATTTCTATTGCGATGCTTGCGAAAACCCTAGGAATAAGAAAAAAAGTGACATCGCGATACTTCATCCCGAAAACTTTAGTTCGATCTTGCCAAAGCTTGATCCTTATCAATTTTTGTGCGCCCTCCGCACGACACAATTTTTTCGATGATATAACGCCAAAAGAAAAAAGGCAGAAATTTTGCAGATGTACAAATAAAACAACTCATTCATCCTTCGCGAACGAAAGCGAGAAATACGTACATGAGTCGAGTTTACGACAGAAAATGCAAGAATGCACGAAACACCAACCATAGCCTGTTTCTCGGATTCCAGAGCCTCGAAATACGTAAGACCTGTCTTGCCAGTGTACTCACAAGAGAAAAGTGTAGAATTCAACTGGATCATTCTTTCGAAGAACTCACTGAAAGGCGGAAATTCATCTGTAGATCAAATAAGGAGCGACTGTAGATCACTTGACAAAGGTCCCCATGGGCAGATGAAAGCAGAAAAAGTAAGAGGTAAAGGTTAAAAACTTACTCATAGTTTGTGAAAATCTCATTGCTTGCTTCCAAATAGTAGACCTTATCGGTGAGTTTTACATTTGGTGGAACTTCACGTCTTCCAATCGGTTTCTTGTTCAGTAAAGGCATCTGAAACGTAATCGAAGAGTGTTCTACAATGAATAGAAAAGACAAATTTGTTCGCGTTTCGAGATACGCAGCGCGTTGTGAAAGATCGATACACATAAAGAGGCCGGGACACATAGACACGGCCTGAAAACATTCGGAAATATCTCCTTGATTTTTTAGTAATTTTCAAGAATTCCAGCGAGAAAGTGCTAGATCACTTGATAGAAAGGATCAGAGTGATCTCCTGAAAGTGTATAAACCTCAGAAGAGCTCCGATTAGCTGCGAATATTCAAATATGCGCATTTAGCAAACAAATAGTCGGTTAAAGGCGTTGTGAGTCTTCGGCCGTCAGTTCAGCGATTGCCGCCTCATGCCGCTAGAGCACGCCAACCGCATTCTAATTACCTCAATCCGAGGTGGATAGTGTTGAGAATAGTTTCGAAAGTTAAAAATGAGTAAGAGAACCTATGTGGTTTCGAGTTTTTTCGAAATCATTTGAAAAAACTGAAATAAACTAGTGAACTCGTGCAAAAAATGCGATTTCATTCTTGCGTCCAAGGCTGGAGAAATCTGATGAAGACTTTATTGTTCTGGAGAAAAGTATGTTACAACCCTGTCTTTCGAAAGCATTACTCATGAACTTTAACATATGACGCAGTAGGAACTAAGGTGGCCAAAATACCTGATTGAGATACAACTCAGTTTTGAGGACATTGAAAATATTTGAAAAAACGTAACTCAGCATTACCAACGGATTTTTCGATTTGCTATCTCGAAATAGAGCTACGCTGCAATGCTAGATAGATAATGTTTGCTCTTATAAAATAGAAACTGGTCCAGCAGATGAGCAAAAGCCTTGCTCATGGAGAAATTGATGCTTAAACAATGAGGCATCGAATAGCATTTGCAGAAATATCTCAAAAGAAATGGATTTCTCTTGAAACTTCCATTGCAAAAGATCTTTGTGGGACTGATTTATAACAAAACGCAGAGCTTAGGCATTCACCACCCATATGCTCTACTAATGCTGAAAAAGCTGAAAATACGCTTATCAAACTTCTGTACGAGCAAAAACAGATCTGCTTTGTATTTTGAAGATTTTTGTAACTAGCCTTGATGTCGTAAAGCTTTGGATTGTGGAAACAGAAAGATGGCAAGGCATCTGTAGATAGCTTAAACCACAGTACAGAAAGTAATTGAAGGTAAAATGAATTCAAACCATCTTACCCCAAACAAAAGTCAAATGTTATGAATTCCAATAGCTTCGCTGTTTTGAACACGGCAAATCGATGTGGGGATGTGTGTGGCTGAGCGCTCCTCGGCCTGCAAATGCAAACTTTTGCACCGTACAACGAGTTCGAACTCAACTTTTCTTGCTTGTCTTGATTACGGGATTTCACAAAGGTTTCCTGCGGAAATAGAGTTTTTCGCGGACAGAATAAAACGTCTCCGTAAGGAACAATTCCAAACGTAAATCATTTGAAGTCCTTCTTTCCTTAGTTTAAACTTCAATTCTTCTCTTCCGCTTTCACTCGCAGCGCGTCGCAGAGCGTGACGCTTTACATGAAATTTTGTGTTAAGAAACGTCATAAAAGCACCTCATTTCTCCAAATTGTTTCCGGGAGCATTGAAGATGGGCTGTCGTTGAATCACTGTGTGATTCTGCAAATGCACATGGCTTCGCTAGCTTTTTTTTGAGTTTGCCAAGGTCAAATTAATTCTTTGGATAGGTTGAATTTCCGGTAGCCCTTTTTTACTGAAGCAACCAACCTTTGTTTAGTATGGTTTATATCATCAGATTCCCTCTTTATAGCATGAAAATTGGAGGAGCTATAATAGTATGTCCTTCTAGTTCCTTTTCGTCAGATCACTCGATTTTGGAAACGAATATGAAATCACTGTTAGTATACACATCTTTCGCATTCATATGATCAGTTTGAAAGAATCAAAGTTTCAGTAATAAATGCTTACAAGTCATTCACAGCAAAATTGCGGGGCGAGTCTCGAAGTGGGAGTGTGTTGCTCCTTCTCATTTATCACTCGCGCTCATAATTATCTTATTGAATGAAGCACTAGGTGAATACAGTGATTACCACCCAAATTCTCACTACAACCTTTTCAAAGGACTTTTGACGTCAGTGGATAATGAATTTGCTTCTCCACAGGGAATGCTGCTTGTCGGCGAAAAAAGCGTGATAGTAGATTCGTATAGCTTTGAATGAAGTCTCAGTTGATAATGAGGAGGTTGTCCTCTCACGGCTTGATTTATACCTCGCGACATCCCTCATTACGATCGCCTTTACCTGCATTATAGGGGCGGCCTGGATCCGGATCTTACGAGAAGTATAGCTGCCCCAATAGCTGCAGCGCAACAGTTGTCTAAGCAAGTATAAACTTGTGAACTTAAACCGAGATGGTAAAGAAAAGCCAGTCATCATTTTCTTGCTCTTCACTAGACACTTCGAGGTTGCTAATCAGATCATACCGTATAGTCGGAAAATATCAGCCAGTTTATAATACGATCAAAGTCTCTGATTCCGAAAATTTCATTGATTTCATGTTTTCGTCGTGTTGCCCTTTGGTTGCTTTGCATAATTTCAGGCTTAACGTTTTCAGGTGACTCCATGGCTCCTCCGAAAACAAAACCAGCCACGCAAAAGGCTCTTAGTGCTAAAAAGAAGGTCGCTAGGGGTAATAAGCTTGTACATAAAAAGAAAATCCGCACCTCTGTTCACTTTCGTCGTCCAAAGACCTTGAAGACTCCACGAGCGCCCAAGTGAGTTTTCTTTTCTAAACAGAATTCATTGCATTTCTATTCCAAATGAGCCATAAGACTGTGATTGCGGCTATAATTATCTTAATGCTGAATGTAATCAGGATATTCGTGCAGGTGGAGCACCAATTGGGTAATTTTTAGGGACCCGTCATACTTCGCCCAAAAATGCCCAAAGAAGCCCGAATAAGCTCAAAAAAGCCCCAAAAGCCCGAATAAACAGCAGAAGCGTCCCTTCCGTTTTCACGCTAAGGCGTTTGTTGATTTCGCAACCGAGTCTTTTTGCTTCATTTTCTGTCGTCTGCACATCAAAATAATGTCAGAATTCCACCAAAAGTTCGTTTCTGCGTTCCAGCTCTTTCGGGCTTTTTCGAGCTTTTTCGGGCGCTTTTGGGCGTTTCTCGGCGAGGTATGACGGGTCCCTTAGGTAAAGATGCCTTTTTTCAAGAAACCGTGCAAGAGACAATCGCAAGCTGTGTGTATAGTCAGTATTATAATGTGTAATCCGTCGAGACAATCTGATTGTGTTGTCTTGCAATGATTTTTAGAAAGAAACATCTACACTAGGAAATTCCCCGGTTGATGATTCATCCACGCTATGATTCGGATTCAGTCAATTTTGACTTAAGCGTAGTCGCGCCCATATTGTCTTTGGCTGAACGAATTAGGTTACAAGGCGTGTTGCCTTTTATTCTTTTGAAATAATGCGCCAGTGTTGCTGCTGACCAAGAGATCTGCCCTACTTGGAATAAAAAGGGGTTCGTAAAACTCCTGTTCTCCATCTCGGTAACTAGAATCCGCAGTGCGCTTTGCTCGCAAAATCGAGTCGGTGAGCCTACTCTCTGTCTCAATAATAGCGTCGACAGGTCAGCCTCCGCATCGCTTGGGTCTTGCGTTTCCGCAACGTATTTTCCGACGCCTGCAGCTTTCAGTTGCGGCTCAAGCGTGAAAAAATACCTGGGGGTTACTCGCAGACGCGGCACAGGGTCCAAGCGAGACGGCTACATGAGACCCTCGGGGCGACTCTGTCATTAAAACAGAGGACCAATAGCTTGACCAGACCATACAGTCGTTTTCAATACGTATTGGCCTTTTCTACCGTATCCTTCCAGACTCAACATGACGTGGATTGATGAGGCGCCCACCGCTTCGGGCTTGCGCCATTGCTTATCTCGCCACGCCACGCCTCGCCAAACGAGCGTCCGCTACGTCGCGCAGGCCCGAAGGCGGCGCCGCATCAATCCACGTCATGTTGAGGTTGGAAGGTATACGGTAGAAAAGACCAAGTATTGAAAACAGTTGTACGTGCGCGACGTGCGGGTTCGCGCGTGGTGGTTTTGTCCGTAAAGAAGGAAGTTCAAGCTTGGCACAGACTCTGTATGCCTTCTCTAGATGCAGGCACTGAGGACAAACCATGGTCTTTATAGGCCGTCCGCGCTGGTCGCGGAGAGTGCGCAAGGTGTGTACTGCGCGCCACTCTTCTTTCCTCGTGCACTCTCGCCGACTGTTTTTCTCTGCGTCTCTACCAGTCATGAAGTACCTTCAGTGGACGCAACCGCGTTGCTCTCCGAGCACAGCGCGGACAGCCTATATCATACCTCGCGCGATTGCGAACATTCGCTATAGCTGACGAATTGATAGATGTTACTAATCCATCGCGCGCAGTTCTCGAATTTGCAGGAACCAGTTTTCAAAATCAAAGCAAGGATGTCGGAATTTGCTTACCGAGAGTGCGTTTATCAAAAATCATGAGCTGTAGCAATGCTTAATCGGGCGAGGATAACCGATGTTAATAGAAGACTTGAGTGTTTGGAGATCCCCAAAATACTTGAAGAGTTATTCACTACGCACAGATATCCGCGTAAATCAGCTCCTGCACGCGGTAAATTGGACACATTTGCTATCATCAAGCATCCGCTCACCACCGAGTCGGCTATGAAGAAGATTGAAGACCACAACACTCTCGTATTTATGGTTGACGTCAGGGCAAACAAATACCAGATTAAAAATGCAGTAAAGAAGCTCTATAACATTGATGTGCAGAAGGTAAGCAAACAGCTTATCTCATCTGAGTCAGCTAACAGCTTCTATTTACAGATAAACACTTTGATCACTCCTCTTCTGGAAAAGAAGGCGTACATTCGTCTCACGAGCGATTATGACGCCCTAGATTGTGCCAACAAGATTGGCATCATCTAAATATTGTTGTTGTTGTGAAATGAATATATCTGTTGTTTCGCAAAATGTTATTGCTTGAGAAATGACCCTATGGCAGCATAGGAAGGAGGTATCAAATCCTTGAGCGTTTTTCCTCATGACATCTTTCATTTTATCCAGGTTTTCTACTGATGGCTGATTCTGGATATAATGATTCATTATATTAACTCGCGTTTCAGCGGGCATAATCGTATATCGTTTAGGTTTGAGTACAGCGCCACCGCACTGTTCACTCAAGCGGTTCTCTCAACCTCTATGATCTACGATTATACCTCACATATTCACCTTTAGCTGTAGGGAGGAAGAGCATCAGCTTCTCAGAATTTTCAAATGAAATGATTTAGGTTACCTCTTCTTGTAGACTCAAACCTCTATTTCGTCTTCCATTCGCGCGGTGATACTTTAAGAGATCTCAGATACCGAAGTAGAGTTTCAGAAAGGAAAAGCTCAGAAATTCGAGAGCAGGCAGCGAATAAGTCAAGAAGAAAGCAGAAAGGGGAGCTAAAACAAGGACCACGCGGTGCGCGGTATGGTCCCTGCACGCTGCGGCCCACGGTAGCGCTCGCGCATAGGTGTGTGACTGCACTACGCGGCGTAAATTGATTTTAAGGCGCCCAACGCATTGCGTTAACTAATTGTACTAGATACAACATTTTCGGCGCAATTCCAATGCCGGGCCCCAAAATTTTTTTGTCGTGGATTTAGCCGAAACTTGGTCTAAGGGGGTTATTCGGCCCGCTGATGCCGAATACCACATTGATTTTGTACTAGCGTCATTTTCTGAGATTACGGTGGGTGTAGGGTAGGGGGTCAAAATCACGGATTTAGCTGAAATTTGGTCTAGGGGGTTTTCCGACGTCTGATCACGAAGTTTAAATTCTTTCTGCATTCTGCGGCCTTTTCATGGAGTTACGGTAGGTACACGGTATGAGGGCAAAACCATGAATTTGCTCAAAACTTTGCCTAGGGAGGTTATTGAGCCCTCTGAACATTAATATCATGCTGACCTTTTAAAAAAGTGCCATCTTCTTGGGTACGGTGTGTATACGGTGGGAGGCGCTCGTTACGTGCGGGCTGCCAAATGCAAACGTACTGCGGATCATGCTGGCTGAATTCCCGGAATCTGGTCACTGGCAGCCTGTCGCGCGCGACGTTTTCCATTTGGAAGCCCGCACGTAACGATACGCCCCCGTATACGGTAGATAAGTCGAAGTTCCGAATTTGCTTAAATCTTTGCCTAGAAGGGTTTTTGAGCATGCTGTTTACGAATATCATTGCAATAACGCCTTATTGTGGAGTTACGGTAATTTGCAGCCCATGAATTAGAGATTTTCGCCTTTCTGACCAATCTAGATTACGGAATTCCTCGAAAGGTTCTACCAGGCGGAGTGAGCACGATAATCGTGAATAGCAAGTCAGATGGCCTCCCTGCACACATTTCAGGCAGGTCTATGGTTTTGACTCCCTACCATATACCTAGCGTAACTCCGCAGAAATGTTCCAAAACGCAAGGCGAGCATGACAGTCGTGATCAGCATGTCAAGTAACCCCCCCCCTAGGCAAGTTTCAGCGAAATCCGTGATTTTGACCCCCTACCGTACACCCATGTAACCTCAGAAAATGACGCTATCATACAAAAACAATGTGATATTCGGCATCAGCGGGCAGAATAACCCCCCTAGGCCCCCAAATCCATGAGAAAAACATTTTGGGGCCCGGGTACTGGAATAGCGCTGATTTTTGCTCTAGAGCAATCCATTGAAAGTATTTATCAGTGGCGTACCCAGGATTCCGGCTCGAGGGGGAGGGGGCGCGCAAAAAAAATTTTCCGATGAAGGTGTGGCGTCAGCCACGTACTCCGAAAAATTTTTTGGTATGCTCCCTAAAATTTTCCGGGGCTCAGGACCCTCAAATTTCAGAAAAAGGGGGCGTGGCTTACGCCACGCCCCCGGAAAAATTTTTTTTATCAGGCTAAAATGAATTTTTAAAAATTTTTAAAAATTATTTTAATTATTTACAAGTGCAGAAAAGTCATTTGCACAATTTTATAACCCACTAGCTTGCAAACCCGGCTCCGCCCGGCCCTGTAATTATTATATTCGTAATCAGCATGCTCGATTACCCCCCTGTACCAACTCCCAGCCCGTAGCTCAAATTTTGCAAAAAATCGATAAAATCGATATCGATCGATAACGAAAAGTAGCCTATGACACGTTCCCTTCCCCGAAGTATATGTGTGCCAAGTTTGGTCCAAATCGGTTCAGAAATAAAAATTTCTATTCCGCACATACGTACATACAGACATACATACAGACAGACATTCAGCTTTATATATAAGACTAGTTGGCAAACCCGGCTTCGCCCGGCCCTGTCAATAACATATTTGTAATCAGCATGCTTGATTACCCCCCTATGCCAACTCCCAGCCCTGTAGCTCAAATTTTGCAAAAAATCGATAAAATCGATATCGATCGATACGAAAAGTAGCCTATGACACGCTCCCCGCCCCGAAGTGTATGTGTGCCAAGTTTGGTCCAAATCGGTTCAGAAATGAAATTTTCTATTCCGCACATACGTACAGACAGACAGACAGACAGACAGACATTCAACTTTATATGTAAGATAAGAAGATATAGGTAACTTTCAAAAATTTCGCGACCCGTTCTCGGGGGGGGGGGGTCCTAATCGCTGTTCTACGTCATAATAAGCGCTGGATGGGGCGATTGGCACTCGTCTATAAGTGAAACAGCGCCTGATCATAGACCTAAGGCAGTGGCCTACCGAGGAGGAGGGCAGCGAAAGTTACTTGACATGAGTTATGAAAATGTGCTAGTGACTTGCTCGTACTTGCAAATAATAAAATAATTTTGAAAATTTTAGAGATCCAGTTCAGTCTTTCAAAAATTTTCCGCGGACGTGGCTAACGCCATGCCCCCTTTTCTTGAGATTCTGGTCCTATGGGCCCGTGTATATTTTGGAAAGCCTATCAGAAAATCTTTTCGGAGTGCATGGTTAGTTCCACGCACCATTACCATAAAAAAATTTTGGTTCTCTCCCCCCCCCCCCCACCCCTCCCCCGAACGGATTTCCGGGGATCTAGAGATCTATTACAAATGCCTGTGAAACAGTCAACATATAATGATTGTGCTGCTATAGTCCTGCCTGGAAACATCTGTAGTCTACATTCCCAATTATTGTTTGCAAGGTTGGCCTGGTAGATACCACAATTCGTTAGAATAAGGTTTCCCGAAATCGTTTAGCAAAGAACCGATGTAGCATAACACATCAGTTGCAGAAATATATCTGTTTTGACCAAATTCTCTAAATGGCAAGTAAACCACAGGTAGAAGCAACCTGAGGAAGGATTTCAAGGAAGGGGAATACAGAGGAGCCAAGTATTGGGCTCGTTTACTTCAGTACTTTCGCACCCTACCGTCCACGATGGTGAGGGAATAATCAGGCTCAAGCGTAAGGAAAAGTGCTTAGCAGTTTTCCAGATGAACTGGTACCGGACGCATAAAGGTCATCTGTCATTGTAGGAGCTCCAGCTCCAATAGTTCCCACTTTTCGATAGCATTTCAGATCTTCAGGGTTTATTTAACGCACAACTTTTCAGAGTAGAAAAGTTGGCTCTCAGAAGCTTAGCGACGTCACGAGCATTCCTAGACAATCAAAATAAATCTACGCAGACTGACTAATCATTAGTGTATCAATCGCAAGACCGCTTCTTTCCTTCAAACAGTCCTTTTGGACTTTTAGCGCGTTACAACCCAATCTGAGCTTTGAATAAGAGGCAAGTGATTTCGTAGCGAAAACAACTGATGATGTTCTGTGAACTGAAAAGCATGGTAGCGTTTATGTAGTTCAAAAAACAATGATCATACAAGAGAAAAAAACCAAAATCCGCTATCAAACAAGCATGCAATTATCATAAATTAATGATTGTTAGTCTACAACGCATAAAAGGTGATTATATACAGCGGCGATAATAGCAGGAGATCATGAACATTGACTGACTTCATGTGTTATTGTATAATTTGAGTATAGAGAGTAAAAAGGAATTAAGGGGTGTGTGTCGAAAGGCGCGCGTTTCGGTAGTCGCCATTACCACACTGGAGTCATTTTCACAGAATGGAAGTTTTAGACTCCGAAAGTTTTGTCATCCTATCAGGTAGAGTACCAGAAAATCACGAGGTTAAAATCCAAAAGATAGACAATTGATCTGGACCTTTTTTTCGCTTCCCTTAGTGACCAACCGATAAATACGCGCCTTTCGACCATCTCCCGGGAATCAAGTACTGGATTCACAGAAATGAGTATTATAATAATTTGGCACCTATTCAAATAAGTGTTACTGTTGCTTGCATTCAGGTTCCTCTTGAAGAGGCCTTCTTTCTTCCGGTCTCTTTGTTGCGAAGGGGCTAGAAAAAATAATTGAGAGTTGAGTAGCCACAAAATTAGCACTCACTTTTTTGCGACGTTTTTTGTTATTTTGTTCTCTCTACACAGTGCTTCCAGATCAGCGTTGATTTTTTTCATCTGAAATATACAAGACATTCCGGTTTCTCGCTCTATATATCCAAAAAATGAAGTCTATGATCGCAGATAGTTCAAATGAGAGTTTTTCAGCACTAAGATAACTTCAAATAATGGAAGACTCACGCGTTCCAATTCCTGTTTAAGTAATGATTCTTTCTTCTTAAATTCATCGATCTCTTTCCGCATCTGTGAGATTTGTTCTTTTAGTTCGTCCACGTATTGTATACCATTAATTTTTTGCTGGAATGGATTGTATGCTTATAACTCTGACTTCAAATCAGTGTATAAAAAGAGGATCTCATACCATTCGATAACGTGTGATTTTCTCCATTAAGACTTGATTTTCTTTTTTGCTCGCATCAAGGCATTGTTTCAAATCGGCCACCTGGAACCCGGCAATAATAGTAAGTGCTTTGAAGCTCTTTTTTGAGAATACTACATCCATTAACCTCATTTGATGTTCCCTCCATGGCTGCCTTGGATGCCGTAGCTTTCTTCAACCTCTGCTGCAACGATTCAATCTCTTCTAAGAAACGCTTGCGCTCTTCGCGATATCGGCTATCAGAAGATGTGGTCTGGCGCTGTTCCAAAGCATCGGTAGCATCTATCAACTGAACAAAAATATTTCAAAAACGCTGAGAATACATAGATTTTTAAATTCTTGCATACTGCGTTCTACGCTGTCTCATCTTATTTCGCTTAGGAAATTGGATGATGAATATGGAAAAAGAACGCAGCGTCTCAGTACGCTTGTCGGGGGCATTCCCCTCAGTTGATTATAAGGGATTTCAAGGAAATTTCTCGTTATCTACTTGTCTCTTGTTTTCAGCGAAGAAACAAATCGTAAATGTAAAAATGGGTCCTCCCCTACAATGCAAAGTGACGGTGAGTTGAGATGTACAGCTCGTCGCAGTTGAAGTGTTCTTTTTGAGTGCGGCTATGCATCCGTAACGCGACGAGGGGTGTACTGTTTAAAAACTGTATGCTCGCAGAAAGACTGATATTATCCGACTAATAAATGATATGTTAAGCATTTCCTTACTCTTGCATGAGCAAAAAAGTTGTCTGGGTCTACTTTACAATGAGTAAAGTATGCTTTCTATAACATGCTGGAGCTGTAGAACAATAGAGGCGTTTTGATGGAAGGAAGTACAGCTGTGCTCACCTGACGCTGTAGATCTTCAATCTGCTGGCTCATCTTAGCTTTTTCTCTTAACCAACTCAAGGCTTGTGTATCCCTAAAAACAATCTCCGGATGAGAAAGTGATCAAGGCATCTGCCCTAGAACTGCTCACATTTCATACTCTTTTCTTGAGTCCATCGCCCCTTTGAGCAATCTTTCTTTGGTAGCCAATTCCATTTCGAGCTTCCCTTTGACCTCTTTGAACAGTGACAATTCTGCGGACATGTCTTCAAGTTGCTGTTTAAGTTGAGTTTCCTGTGATTATTACGTTCAGCAGATCCATTCAGCAAAGAACTCATCTTCAGTTTTGATCACTCACTTGACTGGCCAAAGCTTGCGCTTCATTCTGAGCTTTTGCCATGCTTTCCACAGTATTCTTATATACTTCCAAGTCTTTCCGTGCAATAGCCAGGTCTGTATCTAGGACGAGGATTTTATGCCTGCTATCAGCTGCTTGTTCATGTAGCTAAAATGTACGGGTAGATTCAGAGTTTCAAAATAAATATGAGATACAAACAATCAAATATACCTGCGCTATCTTAACGTCTTGTGCGTGGATTGTTGCTTTCGCTTCCGCATCGTCTGCTAAAGCTTTTCTCCTGAGATTTTCCATTGCCTCTGTGAGTAGAGCATTTTCTTTCTTTAGCTGTAAATTTACGCCACCGATCAACTACTAGAAAAAAAGAGGAAAATTCCTTACTTTTTCCTTAGCAAGTTCGTACGACTTCTGCGCATGCTGCAGTTGACTAAGTTGTGCATCCTTCTCATTCAGCTCGTCTCTCATCTTGTTTAAGCGAGAAGACAACACTTCCGTACCATCGCTCTTGGTCTTCAATCGTGCCGCGAGCTCCTTCTTTTCGCGAGTCAATCGCTCAATCTAAAGAGATAGCGATCCGTTGGATTGTTCAGTAGTTATATCATCGTACCGTCATATTTGCATAGTCTAGCTCTCTTTTCTGTTTCTCGGCAACCTCCAATAACTTCGATTTGTGGTCGATGACTTCTTTCAACTCCATGTTTTCTTCCTTCAGTAATTGCATTTCATGATCATCTCCAGCATCTTCACTCTAAAAAATTGTTTGGAAAATGAAAATAAATGCAAGTGAAACACTACATCCTTAGACAATTGCATCGGAAAGTTCGCGGCCTCAAAGCGTGTTACATGGAGCGCCGCGGCCCTTGAAATCTCAACCCCGCACGCCGCGGCCCATGTATATTTTACCGGGAACGCCGCGGCCAAAGTTGAAATTGGGAAGAGATTATCGGGAGTGTCGCGGCCCAATCACCTCACATAGCGGGCCGCGGGCCTTATCAAAGGCCGCACTTCTTACACGCTGTAAGGTAAGGCGCAACCCGCGAGAGGTACGCCGCAGCGTTGGGGCTACCCTAAATTTTTTAGGAGCTGGGTATCATCTAAGATTTGGTCCTGTTCGACAGAATCGAGTTTTCATGACTATGAAATAAACTCTAGCAGTCAGTTGACCGTTATCGACGACACTAGATGATGTCGACAGGTGAGCTAACGAGTTGCTCAGTTTACCCTCAAGTCGTCATTCTGCAAGACAGATTAAATAGTTTTTCACTCTTCCTAGGTCTTACAAGCATGCTAATCGGGTCAACTATAGGCGCCTAACGGGCACTTACAGGATGTGCCGCGGTCACTTATCGGGTCTAATATATGGGTTTACCGGGCAGCTCGCGGCATGGATGATTGGTGGTCAGACAAGCACCCGCGAACTTCCCGATGCAACTGTCTGAGTCATAGAAGATCGCTAGTAAGCCTAAGAGTCCCTTCAAGACACTGTGCACTGTGACACTACCATGCATTTCCAAAACCTCATACATTCAAATTCAGCTAATCTTACCAATCAACTGCCCCCACCCTTTCTTCTGTGATGCTGTAACACAGCATTCATGAAAACAAGAGATGCCGTTATTTCCAAGCAAAACAAGCGCAGGAGAAAGTCTCCAGGAGCGCTTACAAGTGCATGTACAAGTGTACAAGATATCACGAATGGGACGATGGTGAGAAATTATGCTAGCAGACTGAGATATCAAATTTACCAAGAATGATAAAATAGGAAAAAGGAGGGGGAAAAAACTATGAGAGCAGATTCAGTGGCGTACCCAGGATTTCGGCTCGGGGGGGGGGGGCAAAAAATTTATTTCAAATGAAGGTGCGCACTCCGAAAAAAAATTTAGGAGGCTTCTCAAAATTTTTGCGGGCCCCGACAGCCACGCCCCCGAAAAAATTTTTTTATAAGACTAATTTGAATTTTTAAAAAATTTGAAAAATTATTTTAATCGTTTACAATAATAAACAAGTCACTTGCACATTTTTATAACTCATGTAAGTAACTTTCAAAAATTTCGAGACCCGTTCTCGGAGGGCCCCCCCCCCCGCCTCCCCCGCCCCTCGGTACGCCAGTGAGCAGATTAATTCTATCTCGTCATATTTGCTTGAGTAAGGATGCAAAATATGAAGCGTAATATTCTGCCCTACTTGATAGATATCGCTGCATTAACGAGAAAATTTTGAAAAACAAACATCTATACAGCAGAACGGGGACGAGTGGCGTGGTGGTATGAGGCGCCGCTATGACCAGATCGGCCCCCCGCCCCCCGCCCCTGGGCCAACCAAGCCCTCTACCCTCCGGGGCCGGTAAATTGGTATCAGAGCAATCTGGGAGGATAAAAGCACTGACTTGGAAACGGCTGGCCCCCGCAAGTCATTGTAATAGGCTCGCACGCATACAATTGCCTCTTCGACTATGAAGTTTGTGCGTTTGGCGCATGCCCTCAGAGGGTATTGAAGACGCCGAATCCTTTATCCTTTTATCCTTTTATACAGCAGAACAAAAGCTTTTTCGCCAAAAGACACCTACCACCTCCTTCGCAGATAACATTTTCAGAAGCAAGTCTTTGAAACTAACCTCCAACATGAGGGCGTCGATTCTTCCCTGCAGATCTGCATTATTTTTTCTTAGCTGCAGCAACTCTTCATTGTTCTCCTCAAGTTTCCTGGTATACTGCTCCTGCATCTTCGCAAAAGCCTCACTCGCTGCTCCTGTTTTCTCCTCGAGAGCTTTTCTCAGCTCATTAATCTCTTTATCTTTGGCTTCAATCAACGTATCCGAACTCATGGCAGCAATTGCCTAAATATTCATTATCCTAGAAGGAATTGGCTTTAGTCGCAAAAACTCACTCTCATCTCTTGAACTTCTCTGAACATTGCCTCTTTTTCGCTATTCCAAGCTCTTCTTTCGGCTTTCATTTCCATTTTGAGGTTTTCTACCGTACCCTGATAATTCTTGTTTCAATTTACGAGCTCATATAGGACTTTCTTTTCTCCCACCTGCAGTACCACAATCTCTTCGGCATTTTCGCTTAGCCTATTTTGCAGATCCTTAGTCAACAGCTGCAACTGTTCATTTTCGTCGCTCAAAGTATTGTTATCGCCCTGCAACGGTACAAATGGACTAAGTGAACGTCAGTCATGAGAATTACCATGGCTTTCATTGTTGCATCCTTAGATAAGCGCAGCTCACTGTGAAGCTCATCAATGCGTGTAAGTAGCTTGACTCGATCGGCCGGGGTTGTTTCATTTTCGCACGCACCCATCTCAAAACGATTCCGATGAAGTCAGATATTTACGTGTTGAACACCAAAAAATTCGTTCCGCAATTATGACATCACGCTGCATCACATAAAGTAAATTTTAGATTCGCGAGTAAAACATTTCGGTGAAACGTCAGAGTCATTAATAAATGAATAAATATGAAAAAAGAAGACTTCACGTATATATTACGTCGTGTTTTTCAGCTCACCTTCATTGCCACGATTTCCTCCTCCAAATGCATATTTTCCTTCATCAAATCTTCGTTTTTGAGCTCTGCGTTCGCTAGCTTTTTCTGGAAATCAAGATAGGAAGTGTTGCAAAAACTATATAAACTTCCGCCTTACCTCCAGATCATGCGACCAGCTCGAAATTTCTTGCAGCTGATTGAGGTTATCCTTCATAGACTGCAACGTCTCCGTAAATTCTCCAACCTGATTCTGAAAGTTGGCTGACATGCAGCACAATTGTTTTATCCGACGGTACGTACCTCTAGCTCATGGCAACGTTTCTTTTCGTCATCTAGCTTCCGCAACAACATTTCGTTACCCTTCTTCAAAGTAACTACTTCATCGCTTTGATCAATGGGATAAGGTTCAGTGGTCTGAAATGAATGAGTAACAACTGTGATCAAGGCAGGAGACATACCAGTAGATAAGAATTAGTACTTACTTGCACCTCGACTTCACGCTTTTCAGACACGAGCTCAGATGATGCTCGAGATAAACTTCTTTTGATGTCCATATCAACATCGTCAATAGTTTCACTCTACAACATGAGTAGATATTAGAATGATAAAATCACTAAAAATCTGATACTTACCGATTTTTGGCCTTCATACTCATCAATCAGACCGAGACCTCGTTCCTTTTTACAAGGTGGCGAGAACGATCTCCTATTCAATAACCCAAGCATACCGTTCCCCGGAGCCCATGTTTGCCTTCTAGTCTTCCTGCTCTGAAACACGTGAATTGGGAGAAGGTTTAATAGGTAATTCATTACTGCCAAATCCAAAACTCACCAATACAGGGGCAGCTTCAAGCGCATTTCGCCCGTTGAGAATACCCTTCGTTAGCTCGGCCAGTTTCATTCTCTGCTCTCGACCTTTCTCCTCCTCGTCCTTTTTGTTGTTAGCTTTCTGAAAATTAATGGTTACTTCTTCCATATGGCGAACGAGTAAACCAACCTCCAACTTTTCCTTGAGCTCTGCTATCTCCCTTAGGTATCCAGCGAGCACACCGTCATCACTCACTTCATTGACAACTGGTCTCGTAACGATTTTCTTTGCCAATTTAGCAAACTAAATGTCAGTTTTGAAGAAAGAGAGTGAATATTTCTAGGTGTGAGGCCTAGTCTTGATAAAGATTGGATAAGATCTATGCACAACTGCTCGGACAAAAAATGAAATATCTAGAGATAAAGAAGTGAGAAACTTCAGATAAGACAAGAGAGCATGAAGGGTCACAAGCGAATGATCAGTAAGATGCAAAATTTCTGGAAGCCCCTGCCGTAGAAAACCCTTAAAAAGGCAGATAAGTATGCAAATTTTCAAATGAAAAAAAAAAAGGAATTGAAGTAGAATGAAGAAAGATCTGGGTGTTACGAATCGACCTATACAATAGAAACTACAAACCTTTAGAGTCGAGCTGGTTTCAGCGATCGAAAATGGCGCAACACAGCAGATAATGACTGTTTTCGAGTTTCCTCCCAATGATGGTTTCAGGATGCGGGTAAGTTTCGAATCCCGATATGGTATAAACTTCCTGGAGTGAGTTTGAAGGTGAAGGGAAGCAATAGCATAAGTACGACTTACTGATTGTCAGCTAGACTAGAGACGACCTTTGACAGAGCAAGGAGGGATCGGTTAATATTTGCGCCTTCCTGTAAGGGCTCACTCAAAATCATCAGTGGATACACAACTCAATGTAACTAACTTTCTGCCTGAGTCCATTAGTACCCGCTGCAGCTGCGTTCTCGCTTCCTGCGAGATCGACTAGATTCATCACCGAGCACCTCGTCGCATTATTACCATGGTTTACTGAAGAACAATAGATCAAGATTTAAAAAAAAGGAAGTACGTTTTTACTTACCATCGTGAGATTCTATAGTGAGGCGAATGATAGTATGTGACCGAGAGCTTCGTTCGTTCAATCGCGTTTCACCGAGCTGTCGACGGTCTAGAAATCACGAAAAACTGATTTTTAAGAAATTGAGTAAAGTTTTTCAAGGTAAAGGTAATATCAGCCAATAGGTATATCGTGTGTAAGAAAACAGGAAATAAATCTATTCAATAGGACCATTCCTCCTCAAAAAATCAGGTAACTGAGAATGATGTGAAGAAGTCATGATAGTTTCGACATTGTAAATATAGCAAAAACCAGCGCAGTTTGATTTCTCAATTGTTTTCTTAGAGCTGTTTTTGTTTATAGTGCCAATTTTTCAAAACATTTCAATACAAGGATCGAATGGCAAAAAAAAAAACGACAGGATTCCGGCTTAGTAAAGAGCAATTCTTCAGAACTCATATATGAGATAGAGCTTCAAAACGAAGAATAGTGTTTCAGTGTTCCCACCTTGAGCTTTCTCAAGCAATTCCGCCACCTGTGCGTTTTCTGTGACAACTTCCTCCGTTAAACCGTCAATCTGAGCCACGCCGTCCTTGTTTTCGTATATAGGCAAATCCATTGAGTTATCGCTCAGGAGATCGCGTACTCGCTCGTTGTATATCTCGATATAGGAAATCCGCATCATATATTCGCGATCGCTTGCCTGAAAAAACTCCTTTTATTCTAATGCAAGGCAAAATGAGAATAAACCTTTGCTATGGTTTCCAAAAGGGCACGGAATGTGTTTTGCACGAGCCCATCTTCATTTTCCGATCCGGTCAATGTATGGGTTTTACCTTAAAATAAAAGACAGTTTCCTTGAAAATCTAGAGTAGAAAGCTTACCTGCGCCAGATTGCCCATATGCACACACAGCAGTGTTGAAACCAGATAATGCTGCATCTACTAGGCCAGCCATGACATTTTCATAAATCACTTCATTGGAGCACAGCTGATCGAATACATTATCTGAATGGAGCAATGACAGCGACAATAATTCTTAAATTTCAATCAGGTAACCCTAAGGTTTTTCTAGAGCTGATCACTGATTCAAGAACATAAAACATCGAAAAGAAAATTGAAAACGAACATATATTTGATATTCATGAATAAAAACGTAGCAAGAAATCGCAGCTGGAAAAGGTAAATATAATAAAATATGCTGTTTTACCAAACGTGTAGATTTCTGTGCCGTCTTTCTTCATAATATTCCTTTCGCCGTTCTTCACCCATTCTATTTGGTTCTCTCCCCATCCACTGTAATGACAAGAATACATAGAACGTATGTGTAGATGTTTTGAATGAACAGAGAGATTCAAAAAAGTCGATAATGGTTGAACACTCGATACATCGAGATAAATATAACTGGAACTCACGGCCTTATTCGAGCGACAACCGATATTCGGTCTTCTGCCATATTAATAAAGTTATGGGATAATCTGCAAATTTGATGAGAAAATACCGCTGTGACAGTCCGAGAAACAATAGTAGATAGTAAACATATGGATACGAATGCAGATTTCGATAAGATAGAATACAACAAGACTTCGTTATAAGGGTCTTTCGTGAGAAGTAAATAATGACAGTGAGTTTTGAGCGGCACTCATCAGTCAATTATGAATCAATGTAGAACTCAGGCTGCCAAATTTAGGATCCAGGGAGGTAATATAAGGAAAAGTTAGTCTCCGTAAGTTGTTCTTTGAAATTCGATCAATTCGTACTCGTCGATCGAGTCACTAGTCTCAAGGAAGGCAACGATCGCCGAGTTTGAAGTTGGGGCAAAATAACTCGAACATCCTTCATTGCGAAAGATAGATGAGGTACTGACAATCGTTGCACTAACTTCTCTAGTTTTTCCTCGTTATTCACGACCAAGTAGAGGTAAATAGAAAGACGCGCATTCGTCTCAAATAACAGTTCTATTGCAACGCCAAACTATGTTATTGTACCAGTCTCCCGTAGCCTCGATGAACAAGCCCTATATGTCACAGATTTTACAAAAACATCCAATTCCCATTGATGCAAGGATGCGATTCACATAAAATAGCTTATTTGAATTTGAAATTTTGCCGCGCTTGATGCGGCGCTCGCCGCGCACTCGTCGCACGAGGCGGGCACAAGTTGTTACTGGGTCATCCAAACGAAGGCCTTTACAACGCGTAGGTATCATCTACCTATCATCTATTCTATGACCAGGAGACGCGCGACTGCATTGCGGACATTGTCTTAACAAGTTTGAGCTTGTTCTTGCTTGTTTCCAACGAGTGAATAAACCTAAACGAGATAAATGACAAGTATAAGCCTGCTAGTACACGATTAGGCTTGTTTAGACAATGTGTGCAATGCGATCTCGCTCTCCTAGTCTTAGAATGAATGATATTTACTATCAACATGGCCGGTTTTCGATCATTCTAACATGTCTTCTTCGCATAAGCGCTTTATATTGGGTGGAGGACATTAGGTCGCCGAATTTGGAAAAGTCCCGCGCGGATTCCCTGCAGGAACGCATGTCCGCGCATGTACAAGGGTGCGTATTTGTCGCAAATGACCGCGGGGACCGCCCTTTTTCGGGTGTGGTGCGGAAGGCGACAATTCCCAATTTTGTGCCTATCAAGAACTCTCCGGTGTCAAAGTGACACCCCGGGGGACTACGGGGGTGGGGGGTGGGGGCAGATACACTACTCAATGCTAAAAGTAGAAATCCGTGAAAGTCATTGAGACGGATGATACACAGCCTCCATTTTTCACCGATTGTCGCCTTCCGCGTGCCCCCCCCCCCCTTTTTCGGCGACCTAATGTCCCCCACCCCTTTATATTCACAAGTTAACGTGTTAAAACGACCGAAAGGCAGCCGCGTTGATGGTACCTATGGGAACATTTGTGGGGGACAAACCATAGTTGCTTGAGGCCTCGGACAGAATTTACGCGATTTGATCGTCGCGAGTCAATCGCTACAAGACAAGTGTTACGAGTTCATTGCATGCCGACGTTCTTGTATAGTAAGTTTCAGCACAGTTTAGGCGAAAATTGGACTGGCGGGAATCCGCTTCGCAACGATTGGAGCCATTTTGCAGTCCGCGTCTCTTCATTTTAATCTATCTCTCTGAGCCAGTGGCGGTGCGGACGTGCTGCTTCACTTGAAATGTTTCGCCTACTCCGAGTTGAAAATGACTGTATTTCGGTTGTGATAGTCAGTCACGATTAATCGTGTTGGAGAACTATCGCAACCGAGTTGCAAGAAGATCGGCATGCAATTGTGTTGTTACAGTGGTCTTGTCGCGATCAATCGCGACGATCAAATCGCGTGAACTCTGCGAGGCCTGAGGGATGAAAATTATCTTCAAATCACATTTTAACTGTAATGGGAGACGTGGCTGCTGATCTTTACCATCTATTTTTTTAGTATATCTGAATGTGAGGTTGTGCATGGAGTGAGTCAAAAGTAATGAGAACTCCAGATTCTTCTGGAATCGACGCTCGAATCGGGTAGATTTTTCACACACACACACATCTTCAAAACGGCATCCACGTTTTTTCTTACTCTTTCAAACTGCTATGATTTTTATCCAAATTTCTCCGTTACTGCCGGCATAACTGCAGGAGTTTTGACGCCATTCATATTCTATAGTTGCGCATAGTATCTAAAAATCATAAGTCAAGGTATTTTGAAACGGTAAACGCTTGGTAATATTGGAAAATCAAGATTCAATAACAAATGATTTGCAACGCTTCGGTTTCCAAGGAATTCATAAGGTTTCCTTGCATTTTTGTTTTACGTTATTTTTCTAACAACTGAGTGGTTTTGAAAAAAATCAGTGTGAAAAGCCTCGAAATGCTGGTTTCGAAGACGTGAAAGAGATTTGTGTTAAACAAGATTTGCTAAGGTTTGGAACGACCGCCTCCTAAAATTTCAAAAAATTTTGAGGACTAGTAAATTTACACAAGGCGAAAATGATGGGTTCAATATATTCTTGTTTTTTTTTTTGAAGTACAAAGGGGGAAACAGTCGTTAACATGACTGCTGAAACGAGAACGAAATTCCGTGTTTGGCTCAGTTCAGATTGCTTTCCTATCATCACACTTATTTTGCTGAAAGTTCAACTACAGAGCGAAAAGTCGTCGTTACTTTTGCGAAAGTAGAGAAAGTCAAAGTTAAGTCCTTGCCTTAGTAACAGTGAAAGTCTCGTATGTTCACAACTTTTTCAAGCTGCAGTTCTCAAGAGATGGTAATACTTCTTTCCTATCACAAGTTGCAAAGGATATGTTATTGGTTTGAGCCTATAGTTTGTCTGGAATCAAAATATCAAATATCCAATCTTTGCACGCTATGACCTATAAACGTGATTGGAGTAGAATCTTCTAGCATGAAGGCCCCACAAAAATTTTGCATATACGTACTTGCTCAGAAAGATAAGCATTTATAAGGCATTAGAATAATCTTGACGATGGCGGGACCGCGCGCGACACGCACGCACTTCCGGCAAACCGTATTTTTTTGGTTTCATCTCTATTCGAACGGGTTTTTTGCTTACGTATGGTAGTGTTTACGCACTGGCTGCGACTGAGCTGAGCGTTGAGGTGATGACTTTTTTTATAAGTGTTTTATTTTATGCTCCTGTGGGCGCAAAGGCCGCAGTCGAATCCGTCTTTACGATCTTATAAATAACCTTTACACATACTAAGCTTGGCGATATAATTTCTAAAGGAACATAAAGTTCTGAGGGACTATTGGAACATTCTTTGGACAGTTTGAAAACACATAATTTTACATTTTATTTGCTAATCGCACTAAATAAAGTCATTTGACAACCAAATCCGAGAATTTTTGATTTTATCTGCTTAGCAGAAAATTTGAGCAAGGTAAGAAGCCTTAGAAAAAAAATATCCACATGTGGGGTTCTTCTTCAACAAATCCTCTCCATCCCGTCAATGTTGGTTCAGTTGTGCCTGTCCCATAGGCTTCAAATTGTCGGATACCTAAAGCAAATCTTTGAGTTCTTTAAATGTGAAAATACTATAGATTTTTTTAAACATTATTGCACTAGATATTTCCAAAATGCTGCAGAAGGAAACTATGTAATGCTTCAACTCTTTACATTGTCTTTCTCGATATGATATAATAGGGCAAAAATGTTTTATTTCTCCAAAGCAGGTGACCATAAGTCAAATTGCCTCTAATTTCTTATTTGTATCTTTATATTCCCAATAAATCGAAAGTGACAGATTTTTACACAGGAAAGTTGTAGCACTTATGGTAGAATAATCAATAGATTGTGCTGATACAGTGATACAGTGTTTCTGCGTTGCCAGCAACAATTGTGCGTAAGATATGGCACTAAAATGAGCAGGACCGAATTTCTTTCAAAAATTATTCACGCGCAGGTGTTGTCGCATTACAAGTCGCCAAAGCACTGCGTAAACCGTCAACAAAATTAAGCTTTATTTTTCACGCTCTTTTGAGAGCAATTGAAGAGGAGAACAAATGCACAGTTCACACTTACCTTGAAGGGTGCAGCAGTTGCTTTCTTGATATCCTCCACGCTAAGATCCGACCGAACTTCAATCAGCGTTAGGCCATTCTTCTTGCATACGTCGAACACAGCCTGGAATGTTCAACTCAAATTTTTTTCTTGCAGGGATTTGAAGGTGTGGGTTAGGTGTTGAACCAACCATGTCTGTGATAATTCGTGACGCCACATTTTTACCGGTGAGCGGCAGATCGCATTTCGGCAAAATTTTCGATTCTCCATTCTTTGAACAATGTTCCATTGTCACGATGACTCGGGCTCCCGGTGCTGAGACTAGGTCCATAGCTCCGCCCATGCCTTTGACTAATTTGCCCTGAACAATAAAGCGTTTGTGAGGATTGCGAAAAAGGGGGGAACGTGGAAGTCAACGGGGTCGATACACTGAAAAAAAGTATTTTGGAAACTGCGCCACTTTCGAGCGACTTTACAGACTATTTTTGTAGCCTAGACGTGAGGAGAATCAAAAAAATTTTGGAAGGGGGCAGGAAAACTTATAAGCGTAAGTTTGACTGTTTATAGTGTCACTGCATTGACGACAACGTTTGCGTGTAAACGCGTGACCACGGAGCACGAAACAAGTGAGTGCGCTCTTCATGACACGCGCAGATCGCACTGCACTCGGCAAATGGTTGACGCGCAAATGCTGTAGGCACTGCAAGTTATATGAACTGTCAAATATACCCGCCTACTTTCGGAAACTTACAGGGATCATCCAATTGGCCAAATCGCCATGCTGAGAAACTTGAAGAGCGCCAAGTATTGTGATGTCCATATGAGATCTGGAAATATTTGATTTTGAATTGCGTAAATAAACTTGCAAAATCTCACCCTCGGATCATAGCGAAAGATTCATCACTTCCGAATATAGATGCTCCTGGCAATAATGTGATTGTTTCTTTACCGGCATTGATGAGATCAGCATCTTCTTTGCCTTTCTTTGGATATGGACCCTACAGAGCATTGATACATATCGTAATCTGTTAGTCTGAATAAAACTAAACAACTGACTACTCCGATCACTCCATTTTCACTTTGAAGATGGACTTTGATTCCAGCTGGTATGTAATTCGGGCAGAGCGTAGGGATACCAATGCCAAGATTGACTAAAATGGTGAATCGAAAGTGTGATAAAGGCCCTGTGGACAGCCTTGAAAAGTCTTAAGGAAAAAGCAGTGGCTTGTCTGTCAACTTCTGTTGAGCACTAATCTTACTTTGTTAGCTTTGTCGATTACCAAAAATCAGAAAATTGGCAAAAGTTTCAGTCTTATTTTGATAGCTTTTATTCTTGCACTGAGAAAAACTTTGCTTTTATAGAATTGTAATACATCCAGCACGCCAGAGATAGAAAAAATTACTTACTACACACATAAGAGATGAAAAAATTAATAACTAAAGCAATTATTTCAGATTGTTTACACAAATAATTAATTTACACGTCAAACAATGAAAATGTCGTAATATTTGCTGCAAATGAACATCAGTTCTATCGTAGGGCTTATAAACTCATTTTACAAGCCCTCAATAGAATGTTCAATTTGCAGCAAATTGAGCATTAGTCCTATTGTCCCGCAGTAATTTGCATTTTGTTCTTTTCGAATGTCAAGTAAGCTCAACCAGTCAAAAAACACCAACCATACATGCCATCCTGGAATTCTAGCGCTGCTCGAGCAGCGATTATTTCACGACTCCGGCCAGCTGCCGATGTGGATGGCTTTACAGGTCCTTCCTTGAATTGAATTTAACTACATTAAGAGGAAGTTATTGAGAAAATCATTTCAAACCCACCGAAGCAAACATAGGTCGCTCAATAGGTTTCTTATAGCTTTTTCCTAACACAAGACGATCACAATAAATGGACGGAATATGGACCTCAAAAATTGCATTTATGATGCCTTCAGTGTAATATAGTTTGTTTATATATGCTAATGTCTTACATCCATGGGATCAATGGTACCAGGTTCTACGATTTCTTCTACTTCAACGATAGTGCATTTGCTGGCCTTACACATAGCATTATTGAAATTTCCAGCTGTCAGCCTAAAAATGAATATATTTACTACACGGTTTTACTACACGCTAAATTTGATATTGCTATTACTGCAATAAATAAATTATTTGAAATAACTAATTATGGACATTATAATCAATTTGTTGATCAAATAAATAAATAAAGAGGTAGATAAATAGAGAACCATCAAAGGGAGAAGTGAAGAGCAAGATAATATCTTTTGGCACTTCTCAAAGCAATGGTGTGGAAAGAATGTAGCAAATTTGTAAAAAGCAATTAACCAATTTTATTTTCTTTCATTTCTTGCAAATTATATGGCTCCGCCTCTGTTCTCAATTTCTTTTCACAAACTTCCTCACCTAAATTGAATGTTACCAAGTTTATCTGCTCTCCAGGCTTTAATCAAAGCATAATCTCCCCAAATGGCTTCTTCCATCACATAGTTATAGCCATTGAATTCACGAGTCTGGAAAAATTCTTCAAAAAAAAAGTTGCATGATAATCACGAACTTTTCAAAATAATAATTTTTAACCTCCTTAGGCTTGCTTTCAATCTCGACCTTCCCCTTCTGGCTCTTGCTGTATTTGATAGGTGCGCCACCCTCTTGGATTAGCGTACCATAGCCTGTAGGTGTGTAGAAAGCCGGAATTCCAGCACCGGCTGCACGAACTCGTTCAGCCAAGGTTCCCTGGAAATTTGCTGGTCATCCGATTTGCCAATGAACTCCTGTTTTCGTTCGTCGGCGATAAGACATGATAAGAGGCTGGTACGTCTAAGAAAATTTGCAAATATTGTGAATCAAATGTTTTGAGCTTTCAAGAATAGTTGGAGTTCTCTTCTGCTTGGGTGGAGGCAAAATAGTTCAATGATTTTGGCAATCGTTTGTTGTTCACGGTGCAAGCAGCAATTGCGCGTAAAAAATGGCGATAGAGCGCGCACTTTCGAATCCTGCCCATTTTCACGCGCAAATGTTGTCAGCGGGGAGCACAGTAGAAATTGAATCCATATAATACGAAATTCTGCTATAACTTTCGTTCACAATAGCTTACTTTATAGTACACCAGTAAGAGATAGAGTAAAAATTGGTTCCCCCTCCGTAAGAATCGCAAAATTTTCAAAAATGTTTCTGTCAGCTGCGTAGGTAGCAATTTCCCTTTACTTGAGAACGGTAAAAATCGGTTTAAAAAAAGTTACACAATTTTAGATTAGCGTGGCAATGAATAAAACATGAGTTTATACGTTAAACTTTTTCATGCTGAGGAGTTCCAAAAAATTCTTTTACTTGGTTTAAGGAATCGAAATGAAATCTCACTAATAAATTTAACTTCAAGAAAAGCAGAGGTTGATACACTTGCCTGAGGAGTAAATTCAAGCTCCAATTCTCCAGAGAGATATTGCCTTGCAAATTCTGCATTTTCTCCCACATATGAAGAGATCATCTTCTTAATCTGGAAGAGAATTTTGTTTATTCCTCTGAAGATAAACCAGAAAAAATCTGGAGGTTTGCATCCTAACCTGCCTTGACTTCAAAAGAATTCCTAGTCCCCAATCGTCTACACCCGCATTGTTCGAGACACATGTCAGACCTTTCTGTCCAGTTTCACTCAATGCGTTAATCAGATTTTCAGGGATACCACACAATCCGAAGCCTGCAGGAAGAATTTTCAACACACTTCTTTTCAGGCATTTGAGTCTAATCACCTCCGACAAGAAGTTTTGCATTATCTGGAATATCTTGAACTGCTTCCTTAGCACTAGAATAGATCTTAACGTTGAGCACTGATGATGTGGAAAAATTGTTTTGAACTAGTATCACAGGTCGAGCCTAAATATGGATGTTACGGTAAATATTATTGAGGACCATTCCTACCTTTGATGATATCCTAAGGGGTGTTGCTAACCGAGAGAGAACCACCATTCTGTATTTTTACCTGCAGTAAGATTCAGTGAAGGCGGTTGCTGTTCGAAAATTCTTGAGAAAAGTATACACAAATTTATGAGCACTATAGTAACACATTTGATCGATGACAATAAATACTTTTATGGAAAGAAATGCATATTTTCCAGTTAGAAACATGCCATTTGAACTCAATTCATAAGAAGCAGGGTCAATAGAATCAAAAATATCAATTCAAGAAACCGAAGAGAAAAACAGAAACAAAAAAACTTCAAAGATCGAAATCAACTCGAATTGTTGAATTAACAATAGACCCGATCTGATCTGTTTCTCCTTATTTTTCAACTTTTCTTTTTTGCTCATTTGAAGTTTCAAGAAGAAAAAAGAAGCATTCGGGTAACATAATCGATTTTTAAAACTTCTCAATATATCAAGCTGTCCAACAAATTTTCCAAAAAAGTCTAGAATTTCTTTCTCAAGATGTCGAATACCGTGAACTGTTTTGTACAATAAATAGCACTAAAATGCGATCTTTGTACTTTTTGCAGTTTTTGTGACCTAAAATAGAACTTTAACTGAGTTATTGTTTTTTATTGGCATCTGTCGATATAGATGCCAAAAATGAATTTCTGATTCATAGCGAAAAGAGATTTTGTTCGAAGTAGAGGCGATTACGAGGTTTCGAAAATCACAGTGCAAGACTCTTCTCAAGTTGATAGCAAACCGTCGATAGAACATCATTAAGTGGGTTTCCATTGGAGGGATTTAATGAGGAATTAGTCAGCTTATTTGGTCATGCGATTTCAATTATGTGCTGCACAAGAGCGATTGAATCCAACCAACATTAGCGTCTCTCTAGGCTTTTATCGAAAATGTTATGATTTCTACAATACAAGTTAAAAATAAAAAAGAGTCATAAAAGTTGGATCTATGTAAAAATAGTCAAAATTACAATTGGTATGGCAATAAAGCTCCAGCGAAAGAGAAGAAAGTATCAAAGAAAAAGAGTCCTATAATAAAGTGCTCCGTTTTGCGATTTGCACAAGATTTTCTCTTCATCTTACAGATTTCCGTCTCTGCTATTCAAAATGCTCACTTCATAATAAATATGAAGTTTTCAAGGTGCTCTACAGTTTTGATTCATTAGTTGCAGAGAATAAATAATTTGCCTGAGTCATGATGATAGAAGAGGAAGAATAAAAAAGCCATCAAAATAGAGTAATGCTTGGTTGTTACAAAAATGGAGTTGACATAAGTTCAAGACATTTGCATTTTTTTTTGGTTTCTATGGAATACTTGAAAACACAATACTTATTAAGATTGATTATCGTTAGCAATTATATGAACCAAGTTGGAAGAGACAAGAAAATAACTGGTTTCTAAAAAGCCATAAGAGCTGAAGTCAAAGCATAGACATGAAAGTAGAAAGTAGCAGACCGTGCAAAAAAAACATGGGGAAGAAGTCTAAGTGAAGTTTTTGGGAAAAACCTTCGAGAGCCTTGACACGAAACATCTGATGTGCAAATAAAAAACGGTCTCTCAACACGATACTTGCTTCTGCAAAATGCTTGCTTTTTTCCTGTGTTAGGTAGTCCATAAAAAATGCATAAAAACGTGATGATGAAGCGAAAAAAGTGCTGATGCAGGTGTCTGAGTACGCGCGGTGCGTAGAGAGCGAGAGCGTTGTGGAGGACATTGCGAGTAAAGGTCATAGATCTCTTTCATTTACTCCGTCGAGTTCCGCGCTATGATAACGACACTGTGCGAAGACTTCTTGAGTACATATCGATTTTTCAAAGATGATATATATCAAATTTTACTTTCAGGATTTTTATGTATAGTTTACTCGGAAATTTTTAAATTAGAGGTATCGTTTACGAAAAAAATGAAAAAATTTCCTGCAGGACATCAACAGTTCGGCACCTGGATTGAGCTCCAGTATATCTCTAGTTTTACTGTTCACTGAGTAATTAGATTTTCTCTAAAATGTTGAGGGAAGCTACAACAAAGATAGTTATTGACGTATAAAAGTATGATAATTACCAATGTCTGATTTTTTTTCGTAAAAGAACAGTTAATTGTGCATCTGGGCGGAGCATTTCGATGGATGCGGGGTTTGCCACCTTCAGCTCTTTTTTCAATTCATTTTCTTGTGATAGAACCGATTTTTAATACAAGTACGCAGGAATTTTGTCCGTAATTTTGTAACTGACGTTTAAAACATCCACTATTTTTGGGATCCGACAACATTTGAGCGGAAAAAATTGCCGTGCATCAATTTCGGCAAAAGGTGTACGTAAAAAATCGCAAAATATCCATTGACTTCTCGCATCGGGGACATTATTCCCGCACAAGTACTGTTATCACCGTCAGAACACTGTACTGACCGTCAAGTTTGCTAGCAGCATTGTTTGCCACGTAATTTTGCTATCGTAGTGATAGGAGGTAACTTCTAACAAGAGCCAAATTTCTGACATTACGAAGAAGATGCAGAAAAAGATGCATATATAGGATGGAGTTTATGACTCCATATTTTATGCAAATGGTTGATTATTTGGGTGCTTGAAGGCACTGTCCACCAAGATAAGGCTGGTGAAATTTGACACTGTTCGTTAGCGGGACCACTAATAATCACCCAAGTCCCCCTGCAAAAGATGGATTCCAAAGCGAGAAAACCGCTTTAGAATGTGTAAGCGGCTACGCTGGCTCCACCCATCACTCTTATTAACTAAAGATGACAACTCTAAACTTCGGCTTCAATATTTCCAGTATTTTCATGGGTAGGACTTCCGTTATGCTCATTAAATCTGCGACAATATGTCTAGCCTGAAGCCTAATTTTGGGCTTGTATTCTTCAGACCACCCACGTTGATGGGCGGAGTCAGCGTTCCTTCTTTTACCTTCCGGAGCGGTTTTCTCGCTTTGGAATCCAACTTTTTGGAGTGGGACTTGGGCGATTGCTTAGTTAGGAGCCCTTGTATCAGACAGCATCAGAATTTCTATACTTTCAGGCTGGGTGGACGGTGCCTGTGAAGTCTCATCAAAAGTTTCCATTACAAAGTATTTTTCTATGTCTTTAGTATTCACATTACAGTGATGGTGGAGAGCAGATATCGAAACTTCCGAGCAAGGACTCTCAAACGATCCTTTTTAGCCAATATTGACCATTTTAATTCGTAATTTTTCAACACATACGCTTCTCCATATGAGGGCGCTGAATCACCAATGCCACTATAACACTCATCCCTATCGGGATTATCTCATTACATATCTGATGCCTACTAGCCGCTAACTGAAGGGCACAATAGCGACCAAAGTGCCAGATGTTGCCTCTTCACTGACCCTCATATCCGCCGGACATCTATCCCGCGGCACATGCATAGCCTCTCAAAGCAATCACATAAATCTTGGCCTCATTCAGTTGGGAATTTCTTGTGGGATCAGGTCGAAAGTACGACACTGTAAAAAGTAATGTGTTGTCCTTGGAGAGAATTTACCATACCATTATATCAGCAATTCTTGCAGAGAACGGAACTTTTATAGAGCTGAAAACACTGCAATTGCACATCGCTTTCTTTGGATTACCAGTAGAGAAAAAAGTCACAGAAAAGTGCCGCGTGCTGAAAAAGTGTTCCACAAGAAAATTAATATCGCTATAAAGCATTGGGGTTTATATCTTCATACATTCCCTAAACTCAGTTTCTCAGTGATAATAAGGTTTGTTAAGCGTTTCATCCCATAAAACTGAATGCCTGAGTTAAATTAGCATTTACATATTCTATGTCCTTCATTTCTTATTTTAACCGGACTTATTCGAACCGCAGCTATATATCTTTTCCCAAAATAGAGTCAGTCATTCCCGCAGTTGCGTTTTTTAATTCCCACAGCAAATTTGGGTTTTTCGGGGACGCACATTCCTTGTTAATTATAACTCATCGCACTCCCAATCGTTGCTAGAAATGATGTGACACGTCTGGAGGATTTTTGAGGACCTATGGGGCTCAATTCTTAAAGAATATAGCTACATATCTGGAGGAAAGTCGTCACTTTTGCACTCCATTTAGAACAAACGTGTGATCCTGTCTGATCGAGTAAATCTTCGCAAAAGGAGGACACCTCAACTGTTCTTCTGCATTCTTTTTGTAGAGATTTTCCATTAAACACTCAAAACATCAAGGTCTTGAGTTATTTAAAAAATCGAATGTAAAATATTAACACCAACACAGCTGAATGTAACTTTTTCTGTTCGTGTCAATTCCAATTTTTTCGCACATTTTCCTCTTCTACCATACCATATGAAAAAGCAAATAATTACGTGAATAAATAGTTAAATAAAAAGACCTTGATTAGAAGTCATTTAAGGAGCTGTTAGACAAGCATCGAGTGTTCGTATTTAGCTTATGATCATTCAGTAAGGGCTTCTTTTGTAAGCAGAAGGTCTAACAGTAGGAAATGATTTTTTGCGCATTTAGACTCTTGAAAGTGCATCCTTCTTCATTCCCCGACCCATAAAAAATTTGAGCCAACGTCTCTATGTACTTTTAACGGACAAAATCGACTTTGCTACACCGTTAGTAATTAGCTAGCCATGGTGTACAACTACTCAAGCTATTTTTTATGTTACTCTTTGAAGAACTAAAGCTACACTACCCACTACATCTCTCATAATGATCATACAAACAAAATTCTCCTACACTCCTTAATAAATCACGAATCTTGCATAGCGTTGTTACTTGTGTATGGTTTCTATTAGGTTGGAACATAAGCCCTTCCCCAGATTTTTTTGAAATTCCGCACTCTCTTCCAGGTTCAATGAACCTTTTTCGAATTAATATAGTTTGGAAAGAGAAAACCTTTTCACCTTACTCTTTTCAATAGTTCACAAGGCAGCGACAACCCTGTAGGCAAACACTTGGATTGCTTTTTTCCAACTTTTGACTCCAAAAATGCTGAAAAGCCCAGAAATTTCAAATTTTGCCTTTTATTCGGGTTTTATAACCTACCTTTCTAAGTAAAAAAGTTTGTGCTGGTATGA